AGTTTTACGGAGCGGGTGTTTCAGCACGTGAGATATGTATTTACTAATGTCCTGTCTTGTTGTGCGTATGCGTGAGTGCACCTAAGCTTTGTAACATCTACTGCCATTTCAAACGAACAAGACAAATTTCTCCCTGCGGGATGAATAAAGATTGTCATTGTCATTGTCATTGCCAGTGCGATGTATAGATCCACATGACAAACCAAAACACATGCCGTTTATTACAATTCGTCGCTCACTGCAACAAAAAGAACTTTATTGAACCTTGCATATCAAGAAGAAAATCAAGAAAAAATCACACTCGCACAAGAAAAAAGTACTTCATGAATTTTGACACGTATTGTTTGCGGTAACACAAATTATTCCGAGCTCCTTTTATATTCAACAATCATCGTTTTATAAAACCGGATCGGTTGTCATTCTTTGAGAGTGCACACCTCCCCTTACTCCCCCCCCCCCTCCAAACCCCTTTCCCTACTTTCTACAAATAAGCCAGAAATCTTAAATACGAATTGGTTTACAAAAAGTTAGAGTTAAAGGCGTCATCCTTGATATCCATCTGGTAGTTTTAAAGCTTAAAATTTTGAATACGGCTGAGCATAGAATGCAACTATGAGCAACTTCAAGAGAAAATGAATTGAAATGGTTAAAGTAGCAATTGAGGCATCCTTCTCAAATATGACAAAATAACTGAAACCGACGGTCCAACTTTCCACAGAACAAACAAACAAATTGACTTTTAAGGATTCAGAACAGCCAATCAACTAGGCCATTGTGTCCACCATGTCACCATTAGGCCCAAGTTTGGCCTAGATTTAGAAACAGCCTTTAAACTGTAGCCTTCCAGACACCTAAAAAAAGCTTAGTATCATTGTAAATCATCATGAATTACGATTTAATGTGTTGCCCCAAGACCAACTGTTTAGCTGAGTTGGTAAGGGTTATTTTTCATTTATCTGGCATCATTCTCCACATCAGACATTTTTCCTTATGACCTCCGATTGCGCACTGTGGCCTTGATCTCTCGATTCCAACTTCTTCCGGTCGTCAAGCTATTAAAATGTACGAAGCACAACAATTTGATCACCCCCCCCCCCCTCCAGTTTCTTAATCTAAGACACCGGTTGCATGAGCTTGACAAATATTTTGTTAATATTCAAATTCTAAAGGTCAATAAAATAAGAAAAAACAAAAAAAAAACAAACAACCACATGAAGTAGGAACAATTGTTTGAAAAAATAGAACAGTTTTTTTTTCATCTCGCTTAAAAATTTCGCTTTATTTGTTTTTTAAATTTTGGGGTGGAGCGGGGGAACATAGGACATTTTAATAGCTTGTCGACATTTTGCCCTTTCAACCGGAAGAGCATGACGGGACGTTGACGGCGAAGTCACATCTGCCGACGGCGGGGTTGAAGAGTAGGCCGTCGGGACATTCCATTTCGAACCGTTGTCCGAAGGAACACTGGATGTAGTGGTTGCAGTTTGTGGGGTGGGGGAACAGGCCCACCTGGGTCTTGCCGCAACTTGGAATCGACCCAGCC